AAATTATATTATATCAGACACGAGATCTCGATTAAGATACCAACTAAAAAAAGGTCTCAAATTGAATACTATTTAAAGGATGTTTCCAGATAAAAGTAGATTATGGATATACCTTCAAGTCCACATAAGTTCTATGATCCGCATCCTCAAATGCGCGCATTTTAACATTGCGCCACCTGCAAAAGTAGAAGACGATGAGATTTTCAAATTCCCTGGAATGGACATTAAGGAAACAAAATCTTAATATGCTCTCCCCCATACCACAAATATTTATATTTTGTGATTCTCAAGATCCTACACTATGTTCTTACCTTCCAGTTCCCAGTTTTTCAACTGCTTCAACCAGGGCTTCCACTTCTGTCACAGAAAAGGGTCTCCTGGTCCTGCGCTGTGAAATTTCAGTATGTTTACATTTTGAGTTAAAGGGAACCACTGCAAGTGCCTCTATATTCGTTGGAGGAACTGGAATCAAGGCCTTGGAGTCAGGCAACACTCCATCTATCAATGAATCGATAGTGGTCTTTGGGGAGGGTATTAATTCCTGGTTGTTACCAATATCATTGTCCAACTTCATAACTAGAGGAGGATCAAGTGCGGCATTGGAAATGCCTGAATCAAAAATTGGACTGGCTGTAGACCTGAAAAATAAGATACATGATTAGTATGACATCGTATGTCCATATGTTATCATTATTTTTATCATTTGGGGCCATCTAAGATATCATTTGTAGAAAACTGTGTTTCCAACTTATCCAAAAATGAGCTCACTGGAATGAAAATATTTTTATGTCCCGATTCTTTCATTACTTATGCCGACAACAACATGCAATAATTGAGAAGCAAGCCATGGAGTTTTGAATTTAGTATCGAAATGATTAACTATTATCCTGGGGAAAAGATTTCTAAAATTAAAGTCATACATGTCTTTCTGGCTTGTTTGAATTAGACTCCAAATAAAAAATAACAAGGCTAAAACATTACAGTACCTAGATGATAGTAGAGCTGCATCACATTGTAATACCAGAGGTAGATCTTTTGGAGCCCTCTGTCCAGAAACATGCGCAAAACTTGGCTCCAGTGCAAAACCAAGTGAATCAAGGTTGCTACTTTGAGAAATACCAGCCTGCTGTAGAGTTCTATTGTCGTCTCTAACCTTCTTCCCTTGAAGAACTACCCCGACTTGGAGTCCACTTCCAAGAATAGCAGTAACTGCCTCCATGACCATCCTCTGTGGCAAAAAAAGGATAGAAACCAGCTGACTTAAAATTAATCAAGGGATTAACTTTGCAAATTCCATCAAAGAAGTGAAATTCAAGAACTATGGTTATTTCTAAATGCATGCTAAATTGCTAATTACAAGTATTGGGTAAAGCCACCAGAAAATGGATCTGAAGATAAGAATGCAAGTTATAAAATCAGGAAAAAAGCCTAAATTTCAGATTTCATACGTTACATAAAATGAATAACACCAATGAAAGAATGCAAACCTTCAGAGAACCAACGGTAGCAGTTTCAGGAACCTCAATGTAAAGTTCTGGCACCCTGAATGACTTGATGCTAAATTTCACTGAATGAAGGGAAAACACACGTGTTAGAACTTCTTTGAACCAAAAATACGCGTAAAAATGAAAAGGCGAGTGCATATAAACCCATATGAAGAAGAATCTGGTACCCTTAGAGTCCTTTGATTTTTGACGAGCTTTCACTGAAGCTGAGAATCCACTTTCTGCAAGAAATAAGAACAATTACATTGGAAGACTGCATGACACTAGAACTTCCAATTCCAGACATGATAAAGGACCTTTATGAAAGATTGAAGCTGAGCTACTATTATCTCCCCTCATCTTCTTTTCAGGTAAATTATAGACACTTTCACTGCTCGCCTCTTGGTCATATGCAACTTCAAAGCTGTGATCAAACAATTTCCTTTTCTTAATTGGGACCCAGTGACATCTTTCTCTTTTGCAAATGTTTTTCCTGCATCGGTAAAAGAACTTCATTCCCTCATCTGAGAACAAAAATCACGTGGGAGAAATTGGATAATAAGTTACATATAGAAAAAATTTACGAACATACGGAAATTTGAGCTTATAAGACTCAAAAAAAATACTTTAACACCACTTACTAGAGTTATAAAATTCACGATCTTTGATTTTTGGAGCTACTTTCCTGTATTTTGATGTCAGCATCTTCCTTGTTCTATGGTATCCGTTGCACAGTTGTAGCCTAAAGGGCCTTATCTTTGTGCAAGGTTTATTGCACCCAAAAGAATTTTCGTCATCATCTATAATACCTAACTTTACATCATTCCTGTGATTTTGAAACAGAGCACCAGGAATAGAGTCCCTATACAAGGAAAGCTGTACACTACTCTCCGAGTTAATCAGTACATTATTATTCACACATTCCTCAAATGGATCTTTTACACTGGATTCGTTAGCCATGGTTAAGTCACCTACCTGCTCTTGTTCATTCACTAACTGTTTTTCTGGTCCATTGTCCATCTTAGGATCATAAATATCACCAACATCATTGGAGCCTCCATCTACTTTACGAGGGAAGGTTCCATTAGGACTTTTGTCCGTGCACATTTCCAACTTCATATCATAATCAACTCTTGTTGCCAAGTCGCAACTCACAAGCGCAGAAGTGTGATCCAAGATAGAATCATTTTCTGCTTGTGGAAGTTCCTTGACATTTGATAAAATATTGCGATCTTGAACAGAAATTTCTGGAAAAAATGCACTCTCTGCACAACTTCCCTGGTCAAAGTACTTCAATTTCAGGGCTTTATCATTTTCAGGCAGCCTCATCTTTTTACCATCTCGACAAAAGCCAGGATGCACTTTCACTTCAGCCACATTACTCGAAGTGGAGCTTTCACTCTCCTGTAACAACTTGCCAGCTACAGCTGCAAGTAATTCAAATGCAGAAATTGTGCTGTCTTCCACCAATTTCTTTCGTGGGCTTCTCCTCTGGGAAGACAAATAAAGATGAGATGCTTGTATATATTCCAAATAATAAGGACCATAGAATAAATAAAAGCTTAAACACAAAAGCACGTGCTCACCCTAATTGATCTAGGTGCTCTAGGAATAACCGGGACTCGATAGCCACTGAACCCATAATCCTGCCTCTTCTTTGACACCATAACTCAGGCAGCATGCCAATATAAGATCATCAAATACCGTGGTGTAATGGTTGAAATCACCCTCAATCTATAAAACATTCCACATGCATTTTATCAACGAATACAAAAACAGGAGCATGCAGATTGCAGAGATTTCCAGAAATAATCAGTGAATTAAGACTAGTAGTAGACTGAAATCTTGAAATCAAAGAATGAATTATGATTACTTCATAGGGTTCAATCTATGAAAACCAAAGAATGAAAATAAGAAAATTGAAAATGATCTAGAAACGGGATCTACAATTGATATATAGCCTTTCCAGTCTCTCATGCACCCGACTTGGAATTAATAGTGTTTTTTTTTTT